TCCCGCCCTCCCCCCCCCCCCCCCCCCACCCCCCCCCCCCACCCCCCGCCCCCGCCCCCCCCCCCCCCCCCCCCCCCCCCCCCCCCCCCCCCCCTAGCTGAGCCCAATATGTACGTGCCGAATGCCAAGGATGGAGTTGCGAATAAGCTTTTGGTCCCTGATCTTCGGGCTGCAGATTTAATATTATACATAGTACTAATTATAATTATTACGTAAACAGGGGCGCTGTGCTGATGCTAATGCTAAATTATTCGAGGCTTTAAAGGCGGGCCGATTCCACTTTAGTATTTTGTCTTCGGAGTTGAGCGAGAGGCTTTTTTTTGAACTTCCAATCATGATCATGTAAGTCGCCGACGAAACTGGGCTTAGGCTAGCCTAGAGATAACGGGCTGGTTGATTGATTGATTATGTAATGAGAAGTCTCGGGATGACTTATCGTCCAATCATGGCGTGGCATGGCGGTTCTGCGGTGTGGGCGGCCAGGTTGTCTCATTGGGTTCGAGCTGGGACTTTGTTGATGCTTGATCCTGGTAGCTTTAGCTTCTTCAGCAGCTGCAATTACGGGATGTTGATGCTTGATTAGATTATGTAGAAAGATAGATATGTACCTAGGTAGATATCTATATGTTAGGTAGTTTAGATGAGAGACTACCCAGGTAACTAACAGTTATCATTGGAGCTCTGGCATTTCATGGCACGCGAGCAGTTGCTTTGTTTCTTCAAACTAGAACTAGTTTAGTTAATAGCTAACTACCATTGAATTGCTAGAGTTTATTGTGTCTTACCCTGAACCTCTTTAGCTCTTCCTTCTGAACCCATTATTGTCTTCCCCACGATCTAGCTGACATTTCCTCACTCGGAAGGACAAAGAGTTATAGTTCAATACTGATTTTAATAGATATTTCTTCGTTACTCTCGTTGGTTTCTATTAGTCTCACGCTTCGATAATATTCCAAGTGTCTGCTGACTTGTTATATACCTAACCTAACCTAACCTACTCACAATGAAGTTACTACATATAATAAAAATTCGACTTTGTTTACCACATTCTATGACTACGCCTAACCTGATAGTCAATGCACACCTCTTATCGCCATAACCCACGTCCCGCACCATGTGTCAGGGTTTGCAGATCTCGTCGTCCCTGTCGACACCTGCTTCTTATCTCGATAGGCAACCAATAACAACCTCAAGTGTCGATAATTGCCGATTTCATTCATTTCTTTTTTTTCATTCAATTTTTTTTTACCTTGGGTTGCCCTTTTTTTTTTTTCAGGTGCACAAATTCCTGACGTACGTACCTTAAGGTACACACACACCACACACACACACATACAGCTCAGCTGCATGTCCAGTCTACTCATCCTGCAAAGCTAGCCTTACCCTGTGTCACCAGTGGCATATCCTAGCTTCTCGCAAAGACGCCGCCCCAATCCGTCCGGAAATATTTTTTATTATCCTCCTCGGTCAGCTTGTCGGCGTGTTCCGATCTTTCTATTCTTCCTTGGTTTCCAACTGAACTTGACCCCTTTGCCTGAAATCCTCTGCCTGCCGCCAGCTACGATGCGGAGTTGTCCTAGGGAAGGACTGGAATTAACTAATGACAGTGCTGCAGAGCAAAGCTACAACTACACATCTACTTAAACCTACAACCTGCAGCAAACTCAAAGTCTAAGTGGGCAGATCAATTATCTTTATTTCTGCGCCTCGCTACTAACGCGACGGGATTGAACCTACTACTGCAGCTATTAGCTACATAGCTGACCGACTTACACCGGGGTGGCCAATCGTTCGTTCCTCCACTTCCAAGTAGTATTTCGTCTCTTCCCGCTCTCCCCCCCTTTTTTTTCGGACGCGCAAAATGTCGCCGAACAGAAATATGAGGGCCCACGACGTAGAATCCGAGCAGAAGGCTAAGGGTCCTAATATCGACTATGGCTTCGGCTACGTTAGCGACGGCAATGCCGTCCACGGCCAGGAGCTCACGGCGGGCCAGTCCGTGTATGCTAAGCTCCAGCGCTTCGCGGGCAAATTCGGCGTCGAGCAGAGAGGCATTGAGCGTGTTCCTAGTGATGAGAGGACGGACTCGAGTATGAGCCAGATCGGCACGCTGGTATGGTATCTATGAACCGAACCTCTTTAAGTTTCCCTACTAATATAGGACAGTGGTTCTCGGCTAACATGGTCGTCTCATCGTTTGCGATTGGCGCTCTTGCGCTTCCCGTGTTTAACCTGGGGTTCGTGGACAGCGCCTTGACGATCATATTCTTCAACCTCTTGGGTATCATGCCGGTCTGCTTCTTCTCGACCTTTGGGCCCCGATTCGGTTTGCGACAGATGGTGCTGTCTCGGTTCTACTTTGGTTTCTACGGGGTCAAGTTAAGTAAGTTTATGGAGCAGATAATTACCCCTGAAACTCATGTCAGAAGCCTTTTTTTCTGACTATGCCACTCTATAGTTGCCATATTTAATATCCTGGCTTGTATCGGTTGGTCTGCAGTCAATGTCATAGTCGGCGCACAGTTCTTCCATGCGGTCAACGGAAATGTGCCTGGCTGGGCTGGCATCCTGGTCATCTCCTTTGCAACACTAGCCATATGCACATTCGGCTACAAAGTCGTCCACGTCTACGAGAAGTGGTCCTGGATCCCGGTATTAGTCGTGTTCATGATCGTATTAGGCACCTTTGCCCACTCCGGCGAATTCAACAGCCTACTTCCGCTCGAGACTGGACCCAGCGAAGCAGGTAGCGTACTATCTTTTGCGGCGTCGGTATATGGTTTTGCTACGGGATGGACATCCTACGCTGCTGATTACACAGTATACCAGCCAGTGAAAAGTTCCCGGAGATCTATTTTTCTATGGACTTTTGCCGGCTTGTTCGTCGCTCTGTGTTTCACCGAGCTTCTCGGTGCTGCTGTAGCTACGGCTATGGCTACGAACGAAACCTATGCAGAAGCCTATGAGGACGCACAAATCGGCGGCCTACTAGCTCAGGTCCTCGTACCGCGTCTCGGCCGCTTTGGCGAGTTCTGCGTCGTGATGCTGGGCCTCTCCATCATTGGGAATAACTGCCCGAACGCATACTCGGTCTCGTTGTCGCTACAAGTATTGTCGGAGAAGACACAGCGTGTACCGCGCTTCATCTGGACCTTGCTTAGCACGGCCGTATACATCGCAATTGCAATCCCGGGGTATGATCACTTCGAGAATACGCTCGAAAGTTTCATGCTTATGATTGGTTACTGGCTAGCCATCTACGAGGGTGTTTCCCTGACGGAGCACTTCGTTTTCCGGCGCGGCTCCTTCACCCGGTATAACCCCGAGGACTACGTTAACCCTTCACGTCTGCCTCCCGGGTTTGCCGCCGTCACGGCATTTTGTGTAGGTGTTGGTGGCGCCGTGCTAGGGATGGCGCAGCAGTGGTTTACGGGTCCCATAGGCAAGCTCTGTGGTGCTGCACCGTTCGGAGGCGACGCAGGCTTCGAGCTAGCATTTGGGTTTGCGGCAGTAAGCTATCTTGGCCTTAGGGCGATCGAGAAGGCGTACTTTGGCAGGTAGAGGGGAACATGCATATTAGATAGGTAGACATTGGTACATCAGACTTTAGGGTTACGGCTTGAGTAGTTATTTACCAATGGTGTTTTGTGTGTGCTATTTTGCCACACATACCTATCTAGATGGAGAGGTGTAAAGAGTGTATAGTACGATGTAAGATGGTGGTGGGTGTAACGAGATGAGATCAGTTGGGATGCCGTTAGCATAGATTTGTTCGATACTACGTTGGAATGATGAGAAGTGATGAAGACTTTGTAGACTTTCTGGCGTGTTCTTGTTGATGTGCTTGATCGTCTTGTTTTCTGTATAAGGGACTATTGGGATATATCGGATAAGCTGTTGAAGTCTCGTGTTAGTACATGGTTACCTACCTAACTAATATATCTAATTGCTAAAGATAAAATCCAGCAAATAGAAATCTGGGGTTTCTAACCTGTTTGTAGCATGTATTAATAATACTTCTCAAAGTATAAAAGTTGAATACTGTTTGACAATGTAACGCTGTAAGAGATTTGTGTCACCCCAGATCTTCTATAACTTATCCTTAAGAGGTAAACTACTATTATAAACATGACAACCAAGTAGTCAATCACAAGGATGTTGATGCCTAGCACTATATCAGACAGAGAGTAAATTTATTCAGTAATCGCCCTTGGCGCAATTATGTTATTAAGCCAGAGAATCATTATAATTTGATTTCTCTACGACCCTACGCAACAAAAGCAATTGGTATGTGTCCCCTATACTCCGGAGGAGTCCTGAACGCCAGTGGACATAGAACATTGCCAATGGGAGAATGACCCAGACCATGGCCGCCCACAAAACTCCAAACTCTCGTTTTCACTTATCTCCTCCCTCAAACATAATCTTGCCTTTAAAGAAAATCAGGGCATCATTGTTGTAAGCCCTCTGACAACCCATCTTCACATCCTAGCGTATCCTATCATTCGTTAATAGCCCATGACCATCATTGCCTATAGGTGATAATCCCGCTTCCAAGGTTTCATGTCCCGTGACAACAATTCTTGCGACGCCATCCATATTGCTTCCAGTTTAGATTTCTGCTCTATATAATTTTCAAACCTCCATTTCGAGCCATTAGTGCCATGTTTTTTGACGAGTTGGCGTGGGGGTCTAGGGGGACCAGGAGGGACCGTATGTGGTCTCACTGCTGGAGCGGCTGAGGCCATATGGGAAGTAGGAACTGGAGACTGGAAACGGGGATGTATATTCTGCCGTGCCTTGGACGGGTCTCGGTCGGAATGTGTTGAATCAAGATTGGCCTTGCTATGAAATTTGTGCCGTTTTTGATATGGACTCGCGTCTACAGTCACCTTAGCCCCCTTCTGCTGCTGAAAATCCTCTTTGGAGGTGGGGAGCTCATCATGCTTCCCAAGTTGTCTCAGTAATTGAGATATCTGCTTATCCACATTCTTATCTCCCTAGGAATAAAACTGTGACTTTTGAAAGCTTTCAGCAGAAATATCTCCTGCTTTACTAGTGATGACTGGTGGCTTGGGGACTGTCTTCTCAGACGACGCAGGTTCGCTCGGAGCTGCTTTGATGGCAGCGATAGGTTGGCCAGGTCTCTTAGCCACTTCTAAGAATGTTGCAGGCAGATATCCGAGGCGTCCATCCCGAGCTCGGCAACGCCACCACTCGCTAGGATTCCCTAAAGGATCACTCTTGCTTAGGACTGCAATAAAATCGCCTTTCTTAACAGCGAGATCGACTCCCTGGGTGGCATTGCCGGCTTCAGGGGTAAAGTCGTAGAGGACACGGCAAAATTCAAGGTTATTGGGATCTAGAGGCGCATTCTGACTCGAGAACTCAAGGCGCTTGCGTTCCTCCTGTTGAGCAAGAGATCGGATTATCTTGTTCATAATATAAGGCAAACCAAATGCAGCAAGGAGGAAGAAAATAAGGGGCTTCCGGCTGGCTTTAGGTTGACCTCCAGCACCAGGTGGCACTTGACGCCCTTCAAAGCGGGCGAAGGCTGCCGGTGTGAGTGCCATAGCGTCAACAGGGGGTGGACGGCCAGTCAACTTCGCAAAAAGTGTGCGAAACCATCGCATGATAGTGAAAATACCGAGGGCCGATCCAAGGGTGTTGCGCAAGAGAGCAAACTGCTCAGCCACAGATATCATAGCTGTCGCTTGGTTAGCAACTAATTCATAACATGGTATATCTCATAAAAATCGACTTACCAAAAAAGCTTGAATGGGTTGCCATGTATGTGCTTTCAAGCATCTGTGCAAACCCACCGAAAGCGCCAACAATCCCCTCTAGCAATTGAAAGGTGGCTTGGGTGCTATCAGTAACACGGCTGGCTAGACTGTTGGGATTGTTTGGATCGTTTGGCATCATGCCGGGCATTCCCCCATACATCCCACCACCGTACATGCTGGGCATGCCACCATAGCCACCCATACTGCCATACATTCCACCACCGTAACCTCCATACCTGTTGTAGGGTGACGAATACGGGCTATAGGCGGCATTGTAAGGCGCTCGACTGTAGGCCGACGCGTTCTGGTTCACTGTTGAATTCAGGGAATCAGGACGGGGAGGAATGGCCGGCATGCCCGGAACAGAAGTTGCAGTAGTTGTTGACGATGGTGTATTGATAGGATTCTGCGTCGGCATCGCAGCCGAGGCAACAGGATTGGCTAGAGGAAGTAAGTAACAGAAACAGTAAACGGTAACGACATGTGAAGTTGAAATAACAAATAACATTAGAACTTACCAGATGCTGTCGCGCCTGCGCGCTCCCAAGGCTTAGGCGGCGAAGCCATTCTAATTGACGCACCTTCAATTTATCACGGTGACCCGAGATGGTATGGGAGATGACGTTGCGAACTGGCCGTTGCGACAAAGAGGGTTGAAAGTTGGAAGTTGACGGTTAAAGAATGAGAGGTGGAAAGGTTAAAGGAAGGGCCTCGGTATTTTGCCATGGAACATGGAACGCACTGACAATTACACACCAGCCGCACCTTCCTTCGGCTATGGGTCAAAGCAGTAACCGATCTTTTGCACGTGATATATTATCGATATATTATTACTAAGTCGATATCTCTTTAACACATATCTTCACCCAATCAGGTTTAACCACAGAGGTAACGCTTGGACCACATGTTCTAATGGAAGTCGCACAACTTTTGATATGTAGTACCTTAACCTACATAGGTACATACGTATCTAACCTACTAGGCTTGATGTCATTACCTTAGGTACTTATCAACTATTACAAGTTCTCTAAATTCCTACACCACCAAAAAAGTATAACTATACCTACCTACCTAGGTATCATCACTTCCTTCTTGCACAATCAAAAAGCTTTTGATTTTGCTTCTTGACTCCACCCCTTATTCGGTAGTTGATCGGACTCTCAGTTCCGACAAAGATGAAGCCATCATACAAGGCACATCCGATGAAGGATCCAATCAGAGTAGCAAGCCATAGGTCGTAAAACCACCATCCTATTTGAAAAACTTCGGGGCCTCGATAGCCCACCGCCCAGGCTACGACTCTTGGGCCAAAGTCCGAAGCTGGATTCAGTGCTGATCCTATTGTGTACCCGAGAGTAAATTTCAGGGTAGTGACTAGGAGCCCAAGTACCTAAGTCTATCCGTTAACACCGTTGGTTAAAGACTATCGTAAAAGAGGATGTGACAGAATATCAGTTCATCATCACCATGCTTTACCAATGAGGAACTACTTACCAAGGCGTGCATTCCCACACCGGGAGGGTTGTTCTGATCGTCTCCTAGAGCGAAAACAGCAATCATCATAATTGCACTACCGACAATTTGATCAAAGAAAGCCGTGCCAAGCGATACCCCTTCCTGGGGACTCGAGAAGAAGGTTTTGGCTGTGTTGGTCATAGTAGGGTCGGCATATCTGATCGTATCTCTATAGATACCATAAGCCAAAGCCCCGGCAGCAATACCAGCAACAAATTGTACAACCACGTAGACGAGGCATGATTGCCATTGAAAGCCGCGGAATACCGATAAGCTGATCGAAATAGCTGGGTTCATATGAGCACCGGATACACCACCACCAAGGTATATGCCAAACATCCAGGCAAAGCCCCACGCCCAGCATGAAGTCTCAAAGGTACTATATTTTACATCCTGGGCAGCAGAGAGGTTTACAGACAGAGTTGCTCCTAATCCCATAAATACAGCTATTCCTGTCTGTGGGCCTAGTTAATTCGGGCGGCTTGAAAAGAGCGCTGGAAAGACATACCGCAAGAAACTCAGCCAACGGCTCAGGATGCTTAGCTCGTATACGGGCCCACCAGTTACGGAACTCATCTGGGTCCCTGTCCCCTTTCTCCACGTCGCCATGTTTCCGCTGGCCTAGTGGTTCACTATCGATTCCATAACTGCAAAGATCCTCTTTATTGCTTCTGTTAGTAGCGTGCGTATTATTCGTACACTCTCTGTGGGGGGAATTTTCTTCCCCTGGCTAATATTCGAAGACGGGTTGTCCAGCATCATTATATCTGTCACCGTGAGTGATGCCCGCAGCTGTCCTTCTGAACCCTGAGTTCTCATTCTCTGCCGTGCTTTCCCGCCTCTCGATATTTGGCCCGCCTGCACCATCAATGTCGACCTCTCCCAGTTCTGCTAGGTCTTCAGGAGACTTGGATACAGATCTAGCAGACAGGTCAACTGGTTCCTTAGCCCAGCGGACTTTACGTGGCAAAGGCGCTCCGAGGCTGAAAATTGGCTTTTTATTCGTCCGGTCATGCCATGGGTTCGCTTCGTAATACCCATCGTCAATCCATAGTAAAGGCTCTTCTCGTGAACTGTGTTTAGCTACTCTCCGTACTCTGTTTTTCGCTCGTAGGACCTTGTTGGTAGTTGCTGAATTGGAACTGCGACTCTGGTTCGACTCTTTGGAATCGATAATACGTGGTAAGTTAGACTTGCGCTGGGACGCGCTTGGGAGCCGATCCGAAACATTATCGGGCGGTTCTGCAAGGATTTCTGGCTCGAGGTGTCTATCTTGACGGCTGAGGTCGGATTCGGGATCCGTTCTTCTTCTAGGTGCCATTATACTAACATGATCTAATTCAGATTTCAAATGAGAAGCCGATAATTGTGTTAACTGGGTTCGAGTTACAATATGGGTCATAACACTTGGTCTTCTCGAGTCATTTATGGGCTTTTATAACATGCCTCAGATGTTTCGCGGTCGAGTATAACTACGACGTCCATTTTGAAGGCTAAGTTGGGGACCACTTATAGGAGATAGTGACGTCTTTCAAGAATTGGGAAGACTAGTTTGGATCTTAGAAGGCAATGGCAATTAATCTCTCGATTGCTACAAATATTTACGAAACACAGAAGTCTTGGGAGCATTTACTCCGCTGGCGACCGAGTGAACCAACGGATAGTTCGGGTAAGCGCCGGTTCCTGTATTTCTTGTTCTACGATAGTTGAACAGGTACAACACTTCTATTTCTACCCACCATTCAAGCATCAGGGACACTGGTTTAGAGATGCGACCCGCAGAAGAACTCGGTAGCTTCAATGCTAAAGGGCGATCTTCGATCTCTCCCTCTTTGCAAATGTCCAATCTGTCGAGTCTCTCACCTAATAACATCCACCCGGACGAGATGCTCAGACTTGGCGTCCAATATTGCCTCTACTCAATATTTTACATAAAAAAAGGAGATAACTAAGGTTACTATACTGCTACCGTAATGACATGGTACGGCAAAAAATATATAAAATATCTTCTTATACGACGGTTCACTCTATATTCGAGTGACGTCGTTAAGATCTACCGGGACCTGCCCGCTTAACTGACAGCAGTTAAGCGCATATATCGCCGCTCCACCATTGGAGCCGCAATCGACCCACCAACTGCGGTGTCGAATACTGTGTAGATTAAACTACTTTTAGGTCCGTCTCTAATATCGGAGTACAACTAAGCCACGCCTCGGAGACGCCGAGCCTAACGACCTTAGGTGGCCCTACGAATGCCGGCTCCTAGCGTAGATATTTCTCCGGGGATGATCGATATTAACGAGGCGAATGATCTTGCACTAGCTATAATATTCGGGTTTCATTTAGTATTTTATGTTAATTATGTTCAATTTAATGAGATGGTTTCGAGAGTCGTTTACCGCCCCGGAATCCTTTGGTCGGAATTACAGTATAGTATCTCAACAGCGTTTAAGTATTAAATAAAATAAACAGATGCGTACGGACATTTTAAAAATATTTTTTGAAAGTCTATCTCAAGGACATTTCCATGCGAATATTATCTGACCGATTGCGCAACCTCCTTATTACATCTAGTTGAATAGGTAACCATCATCTCTCATCTTAGAACAGAGTGGCTAAGTAAACCATCACTAGACAGAAATATATCTAATAACTAACTTCGCAATACTCGAAATAAGAATATAAACTTCCAACAGCCGATAACCCCCCGCAAACCTGACTCCCGGGCACCCATCTAATCCTAAGAAAGGGGGAAAAAGGGGGAAGCAGTTTCACGACGCTGCATCGTATACTCCATCCCGAACCCACCCGTATCACGCTCTATTATCGTCCACGGAGCAATCCTGCGCAACGGCACGCGGCGGGGTCATCTCCAGAACCCCAGAACTTTGGTTTTCCATCCTTCTTCCCCCTTATCTCGATGTACTAACCCCCCATCCCCCCAAACAGTGTCGCACATAGACTGCTCGTGCGAAAATAGACGCCGTCGAACACACGGTTCTAAAGCGATGTAGAATAACTAGCGCAGAATGTGAAGGGGGTGAAGATTATTGCAAAATTATGATTGGCAAAGGATTACCTGAAAAAGCCTCCGTCTGTAAAGGTTGGGTCTAATAGGCTATTATTAACTGTATATTGTATATACGTTAAAGGAGCCTCTTAAGTACCTACCTAACCTAGGCTATTACATAAATCCCAATACAACACAAGATACACTAGGTACATAGAGATACAAGGTATACCATTAAAATATCGTCTAGGAATAAAAAATTACAGGTCTGCGATCGGGAAGTAGGTAAATTAAACGAAGTATCACGGAACACCAGATCTGTCTCGGGTTGTTCCCGAGACCACGCGGAGCCTCGTGGTATCACAACAGGCCCGCGCACAATCTTCTCAGCAGCAAACCTTCTTCCAACGCCGAAGGAATCTAGCCGGCCCACCTCTAACATGCAGAGATCCCCAAAATATCACATTTGGCCCACTTCACAGCAACAGCAACTTCACGCTTCAAGGCAAACACTCCGGGACGAGGCAACACCCGCTGAGGCTGTAGAATCAAATCAAATCAAAATATGCAAAAAGGGGGATATCGGGTGCAGAAAAACACATTGCAAAACTGCTCCTATATCCATCGTAGAAAACACACAAAAAAGCAAGTCCAGAAGCAGACGTCAACCGCCGTCCCCAGACCACCATCCCCTCCCTCCTTTCCTCCGTTCTTACCCCCCATCACCCTCGTCCCTCGTGACCCCCTAGAAACTTTTACGCGCCGAAGCTCATCAAGCTGAAGAGGTTGATATCGGGCTCGTCGTTGACCATGTCCTCGACCTGGTCGGAAGTCAGGCTGGTGCCGGTCATGTCAAAGTCGTCATCGAGGACCTTGATAGAGGTGGTGGACGAGGCAGCCTGGAAGACGACGGCAACCTTCATGGTCTTGTCGGTCGGGCGGTCGAAGTAGTGAGAGTCACCAGTTCCGGCAGCGAAGTGGAAAGTCGACTTGGCCTTGGTGTCACCGGAGCGGAGGACCTCAATGATATCAGCCTCACCACAACCACCCTGTTGGGGGCTTGCGTTATCACCAGACCAGCAGCTGCACTTGCTGTACTGGCCCGTTCGTGGAATGGCACCGTTCAGCAGCCAGTATGCGGGCATGTCCATGTTCCAGCCAGTCTGGCCGCTCAGGGGCATAGAGAACTCGGTAAGGAAGACCTTGTTAGCACCACCGAATCCCTCTGCACAATTGTCAGCATTGAACCCGATAATACCTTATTTCAAGGAGTAAACGTACTGTAAGCAACAGAGCCAGGACGAACGGTACCACAGCTGTCGTCGCACTTTTGGTCAGAAGCAATAATGATTTCCTTGGTGTCATCGATACGGCAGTCCTTAAGGACGGTGGGAGAGGGAGCAGCCTTGGTGCCATCTTCGTTAGCGTAGGCCAAACTAGCACCCCAGACACTGCACACAAGTTAGTTGCTAGAACTGTCGCTTATGATTATTTCGCACTCACGTGTCCCAAGTACCAGAAATAGCCGGGTCACCAAAGTTACCGAGGAAAACAAGACCATCGGCAGTCTGGTCCTTAGAGTTGTAGTAGGCGATACGTTGGAAGTCGCCTGCAGGAACATCGACAGGAGCAGACTTAGACGACGACGGAGCTGGCGCTTCGGGGCTGCTCTCAGGGGCAGGGACAGCAGGAGCAGCAGGGGCCTCCGTAGCTGCGGGAGCCGGAGCGGGGGCGGGGGTCTCGGCGCCACCACCGAAATAATTGTTCGCCCACGACACCACCTGGCCATCGATCGTGGCCACGACCATATCATCACGCTTATCGGCCTTGGCGTGTTCGTGGTGCTTCTTGTGAAGGTGCTGGTGGCCATGGCGCTTGGAGTGAGGTCTCTGGACCTCACGCTTGGACGCGCCCGAAGAAGGGGTGAAGACAGCGACAGTCTTTAGTTCGAGGGGACCTCGGAAGTGCAAAGTCAACTGCGCTTACGTTAGAAGTGGGGGGAATTTACCCGCAGAAGAGGAATTGGTACTCACGTCCTCGTCGAACGGGGCGATGGGACCAGAGTAGTCCTTGTCCTGGAACGTGCAAAGACCATTGTTATCCATCTGGGCGACGGCGCGGTACTTGCCAGCGATGTCGAGGCCGCTGTACTTGACCTGCTTAACCGCCTTGGGGCAGAAGAAGTTTCCGAACTCTTCAAAGGCATCGTTACAGAAGCCCGCATTAACCGCCGAGGCCGTGGCCACGACGAGCGCGGTCGAATACTTCATCGTGAGCGATCGAAAGGGAGCCCTTGATAACGATGTTTGCTCTTGCCGAATGTGAGGCTATCCAAGGATATATGCTCTTTTGCGTAGAAGTATTTCGCGTCTCTCGACCCGTTAATATTATTTTTATGTATACGTCGGGCTGCACCTTTCTCTCGAAAACTGGGCCGGAAATACAATAGGCTACGAAGAGAATGTGGACAAGCAAACACCTAGAATGGTAAGTTAAGAAGCGCTAAGCAGAACCTCCGCGGCTGACCTGAATTGAATGTTTGTTTGTTAATGAGCGACTTGGTGAAAAATCACCGTTACAATGAATGACTCAGCGAATTGCTTCCGGGCAAAGAAAGACGACGACAATGATTATTGAAGGTCAACAAGAGAGGAAGAAGGAAAGTAACGAGTGGGAAAGGGGGTGGGTAAATGAGATTAAAGACTACAGCCAGGAACTTGGAGCGACGTGGAGGGAGTGGGAACAGAATGTCAGTTTCAAAGATAGACGCCACAAAAGGACGAGGATGTCACCGGCCAAGGATCTTGTCGGCTCGTGCTGGCCTGGCTGGCTGGTCCAGGAGCATAGATGATTGGATAAGTGACTTGGGTCTAGAGTGTTGTACCTTGCAGTCTGCATGAATCAGTGACTTGCCCGACATAGCGAATTTGACGTAGGATTGAATGTATCCCATCTATTTTCCCATCTATTCCCAGAAGGGGCCAAGATCAGGGGGATCTGCGGCTAAGCCAGGAACCATCAATAGGAACACACCACATGCCGCATTGGGCCAGTGGGCGTGCTGGGGCTTGGTCTGGTTTATTCCCTAGGTAGGTATCAAGGCCTATTCTTTCCTGCGACCCCTTCATTCCATGGGTGATTTTCCATGGGATATAATGATGGACCATGAGAGAGGCCTGATCGTCGCAAAGGCTACAACCATGCTGCCATGCTACCTAACTTGGCAAATACCCACTCGCGGGCAATAATCGTGGTTGTAGGCATTGCGCCATGATAGGACGGTCCTTTATTAACCCCAGTTTCTGCTCATTTCGTCAGTACCAAGCTTTTTAGCGCATGCGTTTCGATCGGCCAGATCAGGACATTGACTCGCTGATACACTAACGTTGATAGATTGGTTGAACTGAACAACAGGAAGCAGAGGATTCAAGCGAGCAAATTTGTATTGGTCATTTGGATACACAAAGGAAAATTCAATTAAGGCTCAGATAGTATCACATCTTAAGATAGTATCTTCTTCCGTCTTGGCATGAGACGACGAGTTTGTGTGACAGGTTTGCATCGTGGATAAAAGAAGGAGGATATTAGGAAGCTAGAATACCCAGGTACCTAAAATAAGGGGTCCGAAAAGATTTGAGGGACTGAAATTTTCCGAGTTTACTACTAACTTTATTAACCTAGTCAAGCCTCAAGCCCGTTTAGTTTGACAGACCTCCATGTAGACTTGCATGGTCCCCTAATGTTATCGTAGGGCGCTAACCCTCTAGTAATTCATGCAGGTACTGCTACCATAGGTACTTAGACATGTACCTAATTGCATAAGGTATACTACCCATGTACCTAAAGGCTAGAGGCTATGTACCTAGGTATGTAACCTAGAGGTCGGTAATCTTGCAGTTCTTAGTTTACTCCCAATCGAGTTTTTAATATAGGTAGGTACCAGGTACGCTTGTAAATCGCCGAGTGCTACTAAAGAACTACGGCCAAGACTTTCTTAGCTCCTAGGTTTAATGAGATCAATAGCCCGACTTTCGTATATTTCACGATGCCGAAGTCAACTTAGAACCCCTGAGTACTCCGGTATGTCAGGAGGAGAAATCCCAACTATAATTTCTCTGGTTGGTTGCATATTCGTTCATTAACAGATTCTAATAATGCAGCTGTCGACACGTCATCTTGTTAATAATTGCAGCTCCTGTGGACCATCGGAACTGTCACAACCATACAACGGCAGCGTCGCCACCATTTTGTGCGCAAGTCCTGCATGAGAGCCCAATACCGCTCGTCCTTGCTTCGCTTCGCACGTCCGGTATCGAAAAGCTTACGTATGAAAGGTAACATGATTGCGGCAATGCGGAAATTCCTAGAGAATTGAGTTATTATTCATTCTTATGTCGCTAACCGAAGTGACGCACGTGGCTGATTTCTGAGTCCGTTCTATTTCCTGGAGCACTGGGGTTCATAGTCTCACACCCTTCAGAACAGAATAAATAATATAAATTTCGTTATACCGCCGCTATGATGTTGTGATGTAATGTAAAAACTCACTTGTGGTTCTGATAGGGTTTGCTGCATTCCATTGCCGATATGATCCGGATACTTGCGCCTTTGTTACTTCGCATCTATCGATGTTGAGCTGCAGGTACCCGAACTTTAAGACATTAGCCGTTTAACAGGATATTTATTTCCGATTTTTTAAGAGAATGAATAGTATTCACCGTCAAATATGACTTGTACTTTTTTATAATAACTACCTATTCTTAAAGATGCTGGTCCAAGTTCATCATTAGATTACAATAGAGTTCGGGATCAACAAACATATACTTTAACCCCTTTCTAAGCTTCGCCTAGATCTTATTTACTGGAAATCAACTTGTCCCTATAGCCTAACCTCTTGCACTATACTGTTCATAGTATCCATACGTGCATTATGGACTTGAGGAAACATGATATTTCGATATTCAGCATACTCTCAATCTAGGGTCTCATATGGAATTTACTAAGCTTACATGTCAAATTCCATTATGACTACCCCGCGACCTAACTCATATAGTTACTAAAGCTTCTCCGCAAGCACCCTGCTAAGTGCAAAACCATGGACAACTTCGAGGCAAAACATCAACGCGTACCATAGGCGTAAATCCCATTATGGTGTTCAGCTAGGACTAACCTCCTAATTAGAGAGTTGGCGATGATGGATCCTAAGTTTGAAAGCTGTCAAACGTCTCCAAGGTCATACCCAGAATCCTACCTACCATTCAAATCCCAAGCTTTGTCCTACTTGGCCAGTTTCTACGTGGTAACAAGCCATTCGGCCTTGAAATCTTGGGCATTCTCTTCTCTCAACTATTGATAGGCTCTTAACCGACGGATTCGCGCGAGTATGTAAGTTGCCAATGTAAGCACTGGAAAAGATCAAAACTAGCTCTTGATGCAACCCAGCCATCGACGTTATATTATTCGTGATATCAATACAGTGCTTATTTCGTGAGGTTAGACAAGGCGCTGGTGCGCCAGTGATGTTAGGAGATCTACCTTGAGACCAGTAAGACTTGTATGTTAACCAGTGATCTCAACCTAGTTAGGTGCATAGTTCTTGGCACGAAAACGTAGCTGTTTTCCTGCTCTCTACTCACGTCATGATAAGCAATAATAGAGAAAACTTGTTACGCCCTCAAGACGATTGCTGATCCAAAGACGAGTTGGTCGACTTGTATCACAGGATTGAGCCAAGGAAGTGGTTGGTATGCTTTGATTCCTATAATTCCCCGTAAGTTAAACACCTGACAGGGCAATTTGTTGAATAGGTATACCATAGTTACCTATATATAGACAAAACGCGCGCATACTACGCCCCGATCGAATCTTCTAGCTATCGCAATCGTAACTGAATATATATCCTAGTATCTGACTGTCATCCTCACCCTTCTTTAGAAAGCCGAGCAAATATACGGCGGGGTAGGGTTACATTAGAATACAAAACCAAAGCCCTGAGTTAGCCACTTAAGATTCTCGCGAGGCCTTTTTTCACCGCTCTTAGTGGGTATTATTTGGTCATTATTCGAGGTTGCTAAAAGTGAATAGCTTCAATCGAATGTTCGAGCCGTTATCTCAGGAGGCCGCCTGCTACTGGAGCTACATCGCAGGATTCGCCATTTACGCTACGATGCTTACTTAGATGTTAGCGAAGCTGAGATAGAAAGGCAACTATATCTACCCTAGTTGTTTTATTATTCGAGTTCTATGACTGGGATCAATATCAACTGGCCTTAGTGGTGATTCCAAAAATAGTATATTCGCACTACGCCCTGGACCAGTGACCTCACGATACTCATGAGCAAAAAGCACTAGCCTATAGCCTGGCTGTTCCATTGTTTAAATAAATCTCATTATCGAATTACATAAGACCCCAGAATCTACGATGGTCATCTCTTTAGCATCTGCAGAATTTCGGCAGTCTATAGGTAAACAGTCTTCAGGGTTCTTGGCAACTTTCTTTTTGCTGTATGTACGTATTAAACCCCCTGTTACGGAGACGGGGTTGGACATGGGAATGTGGATTTGCTATTGGGTGGCTGTGATATTTTTATACGGACCAGCCCTATGAGAGCACAGCTCACGAGTATGGGTGGAAACAGATCAACCAACGTTCTCTCGGTCCAAAGACATGGCCACCACCATGCAGTTATGATACCAAATGCTACCCTATCAGCAGCGTCTTCAAGCACAGGTCTCGTTGCAGATGCTTCATTGGTGGACGTGGAAGTTATGGCCAACCAGCCTCCCAGCCAGCGCTGAACTTTTGTGTTGCAGCCGTACAATACATAGCAACTAGATCCCTCCGATCGAGTGATCGCCAGTGTGTGCTGACGCCTAGAGGTCACGGTAACATGAAACTTTAAAAAGAAATCCCACCGCGTTATATAATAACGTTGGTGTCGCCTCTCCAATAAGCAGTGGCTAGATCCATCTCACCTCATTGCTCCGCTCTTCGTCTTCGCCTTCGCCGGCATGCGACAATTCACACTTTGCTTTCGTCGCGACATCTTTCCGTAATGGCCCAACAGGCGCCAGAAGTGGTAGGTAATCCCCACCACTCGTAATATGTCCAGATCCATGGCATCGGAACGTATAAATAAATTACTTACAACTGCCACAACAGCTTACGGGCCCTTCCCAGGTCCCTGACATCCTTGCCGGGATCATCATTCCGATATTCTTCGCAAGTCTCGTAGTCATCGGCCGCCTTTATTCGAGATATCTACTGAAAAACCATTGGTGGGACGATGCGGCTATATTCTTCGCGTGGTTGTTCGCCATTGCGCTGGTCGCAATCGTCGGCGTCGAAACCGAATATGGCCTCGGCCACAAGTTCAGTAATATCCCTCTCCGGCTGCGACCGGTCGGCATCCGACTATCATACGGGACGATAAGTTGTTACCAAGTGTCGTTAGTCCTAACGAAGATCAGCATTCTGTTGTTCTACCTGCGAATCTTAAAGATACCGTATCAACGAGTTCTCGTATTTATCACCATGGGCTGCGTCGTGGTCTACGGCATCGTCTTCTTCCTTCTCACTTTCTTCCTGTGCAATCCAGTACAGAACAGATACGAATTCGATATCAGAGTAGGACATTGTCTGGCTTACTACCCGATCCTGACAGCGTCGGCTGCCTTGCATACGGCAACTGATGTATGGATGATTGGAATGGTGCTCCCCCATATACTTAAAATGACGCTGCCGATACGACAAAAAGTCGCTCTTGCGTTCGTCTTGACTTTAGGTATATTTGTGGCTTGCGCCTCTCTGACACGGATGGCTGTTGCATGGGAATTCCTCGACCCCAAATATGCCCAGTGGGACTCGTTTTCATTTGCGATCTGGACCACGTTGGAGTCGAGCTTAGGTCTGGTCTGCGCCTCGATACCAATGTTGAAGCCCTTAGTCAGGCAGTTAATGGGTCTGAAGCCCTCCTCTAAGCCCGATGTTTTGAAGAACGTTCCTCGAACCAGAGGGCCGGAGAGATAAGAAAATTGAATAAATGAATACGCCTCGGATGCGACGACGTTATGGACGAGGGGCGGAGGAGACGCCGATATCGAGGGGATCGACCTCAGGCCAATAAAGACTAATCAAACATATAGAGCCCCGACAGCAGGAGCGATTTCAGAAGAAAGACTTGTCACTGTGTGATGTCTTATGAGGTTGGGGGTTTGGAGAGGCCGCCGCGACCATGGCAAACAAAAATATAATGAGCGATGAATTTACGACATGTGCTATTTCATACTGGTAGCTTAAAAATTATGAATTCGTCTTCTGAGATGTCCCCGGATATAACTAGACAGATTTATGACGTTACGCCTGCATATGTCGCTGATGCGGCTCGTGAGCGTACCTCATCTACGGTACGTGTCCCCGGAAGTAACATCATTTGCATCTTGCGTAACATACGAAGCCCAACTTGAGTCTTCATTGGCTATATATATGATGAGCCACTTGCTGACCTAGCCTTCCGCTCTTACGGCAGCTTTGTAAGATTTGATGTTCTATCGGCGGCGTCAGATCCTAAAGCATGTCTATGATATACTCGGCTCGATATCGACATATCAACAACGCAGCCCAAGACAAGAGTCCCTGTTCCCTTCCCGGCGTAAGGAGGTACTCAACATGACGGACTGCTTGATTGCAACCTTTCACCGCAGTTAAATACCAAGTAACATGCCAACTGAAGCGCCGCTTAACTTGGCCGGCTTGATAAATACTCAACTACCTACTGGTACTGCGTGGTGCACCTACTATTAATTTCATCTAGAATGAGCCCAATGACCGGCTCAAGTTGCATCAAGAGGAGAGAGTAAGATACTTTTCTTTCTAGTGCTAGTAATTTCACAACGTGCGATAGCCAAGACTAAAGGGTATATGTGCGAACCATAACGAAAGCATGGGCTAAAAGTCTATCATCACATTGAGGCGCCCCTATTATCAAAACTTGTAGAATATCATACTCTATAAAACTAGTCAAGCCAATAAAAACTATCAAAAACATTGTAATCGTGCGTCTTAATCAAGACCATTAATAATCCTCTATTTTACGTTGGTAGGTATGTTCCCCCACACAAATCTCCGTACGATTACTTGTGATTCAAAATTACGCCATCGGAGACATCAATCATGACATCGACCTAGCCACGAACTAGAACACATTTTGCGTGTCAACCGAAACTTAGCCAATCAGACTTGTTATTTAACAGGCACCTCGCCCTCTTGTATCACGACAGCCGACCCCGTCATGGCGAAGTTGGTTGAGCTCCTCAATCGTTATCGAGTCGGGGGTTTACGTATCGTGGTGGTCTGTCACTACGCTTTTTTGTTTTCGCTATTATCAAGGGTCGGACGTGATTACTACCATGGTTTTAGTCAACTGTAAATAATTCTTTTTATAAATTAACCATCTTCTTTCTCGTTAAAGTCGTGGTTAGAATATACGGTTAATCGGCGCCTAATAGTAGCAGAGGAGTGTTCATCTCACCCAGCAGCCACGATGTCTGAGTACCCCTCACCTAAGGAGATCTTGGTGAACGAGTCTACCTTTGATGTCGCGGGAACTTCGCGACAGGAATCGGAATCGGAACCGGAGCCGGAGCCGGAGGAAAAAGTTAAGGCGCCATGGTGGTCGTACATCTGGGACTACGAGCCCGGCCGGTCTCACGAGGAGCGCGTGTTCATCCAGAAGCTCGACGTCTTCTTGGTCACCATGCTTTCGTTTGGGTACTTCATCAAGAACCTAGATCAGACTAATATCTCGAATGCGTTCGTCAGCGGGATGAAGGAGGACTTGGGTATGAATGGCAACGAGATCAACCTTGTTGACACTGCGTGGACGGTGGGCTATGTCGTCGGACAGATTCCGTCGCAAATCGTCCTAACGAAAGTTCGACCCTCCATCTGGGTTCCGTCGTGCGAGCTTGTCTGGACTCTCTTGACATTCTGCCTCGCGGCGGCTAAGACTTCGAACCACGTCATCGCCATCCGTTTCCTCGTCGGGTTGGCTGAGTCAATTTTCTATCCAGCTGCCCATACGATCCTTGGGTCGTGGTATAAGCCCTCGGAGCTGGGGAAGCGAGCCTGCATCTTCCACGCATCAGCAGCCGCTGCCGCCATGTTTTCGGGCTACCTCCAAGCAGGCGTGTACCGAGGATTAAATGGAGTTAACGGGTTAGCTGGCTGGCAATGGCTCTTTGTATGTCCACGGCCGCTGTCGAAGTTTTCTAGTTGTTTGGCTGACGCTCATGTTTAGATTATGGACGGGGTCATTAGTCTCCCAATCTGCATCGCGGGATTCTTCATACTGCCGGACCTCCCTGAGAACACAAGGGCTTTCTACTTGAGCGAGGATGTAAGTCTTTGCACATACCTATCATTATGTAGTGATTTTTAAATTGACTGACGAGGGAAAACTTAGGATCGTGCTATGGCTAGGGAGCGTATGAACAAAATTGGGCGTGCACCTCGCACGAAATTAGGACTTTCCACCTTCAAACGTATATTCGGTCAGTCCAACACTCCTTACCCAACCTGAATTATGATATATACTAATAGTTGAGATAGGTCGGTGGCACGTCTATCTCCTCACACTATTATATGTTATATTCATTAATGTCGGACCGTCGTCGAGTATCAACGTTCTAGCTATCGTAAGGCGTCCTTCCCCTTTTAACTCTTCTTGGGGTTATTCTTCCTGAGGGGTACCAAGTGTATTTAATCCCCTTCGGTAGTCAATCACTAACATTTGTTATTATCTATAGTGGCTGAAATCAAGAGGAGAATCCGTTGAAAGAATAGTGAGTAAACATAGTTATCCTTACCTACCACTCAGATTTATTAACGGCGAATTACCACCAGAACATCATTCCCACGGCCATGTCAGCTATCCAACTTGTTCTTACAGTCACATTTGCCATTGTCTCCGACGCTATTCGTCAGCGGGCGAGCATAATGTCTATCAGCACATTCATCGGCGGCTTTGCAGCTCTAGTATTAGCCATTTGGAACGTCCCCGACGGCCTAAAATGGTTTGCGTTCCTCATTCAGCGCGGCTCGGTCCCATACGGACCTCTCAGCATGAGCTGGACGAACGAGATATGCGGCGCGGATGCTGAGGAGCGGGCTATCGTCATTGGAATTATGAATTCCGTGGGCTACGCTTTTAATGCTTGGGTGCCCTTACTAACGTACCCTCAAGTAGACTCTCCTAGGTTTAGGAAGGGGTTCATCTCTACAACGGTCCTTTTCGGCGCGCAGGGCATTATAACAGCAATAGTGGCGTTTATGTATAGGCGAGATCGAAAGAAGAACAACCGTAGAGACGATGCTCCTGGTATTGGGGATGAAGGGGGTGTTATCGTGAGTTCTCTGGGTCGCCCCTGACTCAAGTCTTGGCACTCGAAGTTCAAGACCTTGGATATTGGCTATATGGTATCAGACTTCGAGTAACTCTTAATGTACATATGATATTATTCAAATAGCCATCTATTGGGTGCTACCATACAACGTATGATATATAAACAAGGATTAAGAGAATTACAATTAGTCGATTGCTCGTTCAAGAGTGGAATCAATTAATACCTACCTTAGGTAGGTACCTAGGTAGGTATGTATTGCTAGTAGGTCTAATCTATAGACGACAATCTAAAGGCCCCCTATGAGCAATCTACAGCTCATCTATCTAGTAAATTAAATCATACTCTAAGCTGTTTAATCTTGGGATACTATCCACTATCGTTGCCCTTACGGACCAAACCCCCATAGCATTCTGAAGGCCGTTCGTTCTTCTTCTTCATCTAGAAGTAGCAAGGCAGGGTTCTGCAGAATCAACCATTCTGGACCTCTCAGCAATTCCATGCCTGTTCTTGGCTCCGTTGGCGGCGTATCGTTCCTGCGAAGACTCTCCCTAATGGCGACTATCTCCAGGTGTTGCTCTTCTGGCTCACAGGTACCGAAGATGGGGAGTACCTCGGGTTGCATCCTGCTGCGGAAGACATCCATACGACATGTTGGACACTGGGAATTTTTTACATTGATGTCTTTCATCAGCCACTGGGAGATACATTTGTAGCCGAAGGCATGACCACATTTAGGTAAAACTGCAAAAGGTTCGTGAGTGGTTCGTGACCTTTTATCAAGGTCATGGTTTACGAGGCTTAGATGTGCGACCTGGCAAATATGACACTTGATGTTGAGTCTAGTATTCTTGTTAATAAGATACCCGTCTTCGTTGAAGTGCTTAAGAACCTCATGGAAGTATTGGGTATCTACGGTTATAGCCTGTTCAGAGCCAGGGGTTTGTTCGGGAGTCTGCTCCATATTGCTTTCTTGATTAACAGGGGATCTATCTGATGTAAATAAGTAATTAAATGTAATAATGCAATGCTATGATTTTTTAGTGTGTAAGACGCCTCTCTTATATAGAGGCCTTTGACGGCTCATTGTTTACGAATACAGCTTCTAGTGGTGAATATTGATTTTGAATGTTGACATCTTATCTACAAAGGTCTGGTTCGGAAACAATTAAGACTTGTACCGTATGTCCCGGAACAACTCATCGAATATATGATGTGGACTTGGAAGCGAACAGAGAGCTAATTACGAAGGCATCCTATATAACCAAACGCGATCTGGCAAAATTACATATTATGTAGTACGTGAGTTATTGTTCAATGGAAACCGTGTCGTCCACCTGGGTTAGGTGCCTAGTTAATATTCCTGTCTTAATTTACTCCTATCCATTGCCAATGACCCATCCCCCTTAACCTATCTCATATCGGTATACGTACCTGATTAGATCTTCTGAGTATATAATATACGCATAGAACAATATAGATCCCTATGAAACTGCCATAAACCTAACCTGAAAAAATTAACTCCGGCTGAATTTGGGCTGGCCATCTCGACTCGAAGCATACCTACCTAGCTAGGTAGAAGTATTGAGGGCGACCCTCATGATTACCTACGTTACCTCTGTAACGGGATACCTGGGGACCGCGGGCTTCTTGTCTCAGATGAAAGCTCTGTGCCAACAATATCTGTACCCGGGAGTTCTGTATAGGTGCTCGAGTGTAGTTCACTCCTCTTGGGAGGCTCCGTTTCACCGGGGCCTCCATAGTTATACATGGCCATATGAGGGACTGTATTAGCATATGATGATGGGGGGTGTTGCCATTGGTATTGCTGCTGCTGCGCACTTGTTGCCGCTGCGGCGGCTGCTTCGGCCTCCTTCACTTTCCGACTTAACAGTCTATTCCGCCAAATCATAAACCCTAGCCCCGCAAGAGCAGAAGCAATGATGACACCTTCAATCGCTAGTCCTGCTACCGCACCGGAAGAAATACTTGATGGGTTCTCCGTCGAGGAATTGGTGTTTGATGAGCCCGAAATGGTAGAGGACGCTGTGGCGAGGGGTATTGCTCCTTTACCAGACTGGAGCTGTGCGACAACAGTACCGATAGGTTGTGTTAGCTTAAAGGCATTGTCACAGCAAAGTTGTGTTGTCAACACATTTGCGTCGCTTGCGCAGCACCAAAAGGTATCGTTGCAAGTTTTTAGATGGGCGTTATCGAGTTTGACTTTCACTCCCTATTAGCTAAGATATCTGCCAAGAGGGAAAGGCAGTTGACTAACGTCCAAGGCAGTACTGAGGACAGCTCGGGTCTTTGAACGTTGGATCCGTGCATGCTGTCGACCAGAGCAGGTGGCTCTGCTGGCGAGCGATGGTGTTCAGACACAGGCCGGTTGATAGACATGCATCTCCGTTCTCAGCGCTACAGCATGCGCTATGGGATCCTTCTACTCCGGTAGCACTGGGTCATATACTATCAGTATATGGTATGAAAATGATTGAGTTAAGTTCCAGCACCTTTATTATGGGCTGGTTTCACCCAATACGTTGAAAGACAGCAAAGAACTGGGTTCACCTACTTAGGATTGCACACTTCGTTCGATGGTCCTGCATTTGTGCCGTCGAGGTGGTAACAGGTCACGGCCAATACCTGCAAAACCAAATAGCTTTCAAGAAGAAAGAGCAACGTGCTTCTAATTAATAGCATCTTTAGCATTGTCATATATGATATACCCAAATATATAAAAGTGAGCGAAAGGGTATTTATCTTTCAATAGATCTCAGAGGCACGACTAGTTGATGAAATCAAAATAGGTAGAACAGAGTAGAGAGTAGGGGCGAAACTAGGGAACGACCTCAGGATATACTGTTATATTATTATTATACATGCAGAGATGGCTACCTCCCAGGTCTGGGGTTTGTCATGGGGGCTATTGGGGTCGGTGGTGTAAGATCGCGGCTTGCCACCTAAAAGGGGAATCTCCTCAACGTCGATCTGCTATTGCCTGAGATCCACATCGCAACATCTCACTGGATATCCGAACGCGTCGTTCGATCTGGAAAATATCGATTAATTATTGCTATATACCTCTTAAAGTCCTCCAAAGTTGGGACTGTCCGGTGATTGGCGGAATGACGAGGCGCTTTGGACACTCGACATCTACCATCCCTCTACCTACCACCCTTGGGGATGCTTAGCATGTCTTGGCTTACGACATTAGAGAAGTATTCTTTTCTCTATAAGGCTGAGCTGAGAGGCTTTGAACTAGGTCCCTGGGATGTCAAGGAGACACCGAATTGTTTCACTATGACGTTCCCTCTCGGTGAGGGCCTGCTATTTACTATATGCTTTATAGTACGTCCGAGCTCAGGCCGCATTGAAGTCCTCACCGTCGGCGATTTTAGGTTAAAATGTGGCATAGCGTGCGCATAGCACCAAGCCGTAGCCATTAGTTAGGTAGAGATAGTTGTTTGAGTGGCACCTTGACATAATCCCTAATTATCCCCATATGATTCGTGAGAAACTTTTCATAATACGCAGCAGTGCGCATTTCTAATTTCTATGAGGGCGCTGGTATTTGGCTTTTCTAGAACTCTTTGACCGTAACTATATCGATGGTCGCATGCCCCTTCGAGATATTTTCAAACTACTAATGCATCATCCCAACTCAAAAGGTTACTTTGGCCATGCTAAACGTTATGTGAATAGACATGTTCGGACTATCGTAGCGGCGGTTAGATCGTGGCTCGTCCCCCCTTATAGACTACCTAGGTAGGTAGGTACCTAAGTGAATAGAACGCCAGATTGTATATCCACCGGGGAACTATGCCTATTAATAATAAGTATAAATTCTGGAAAAGATACCCTCAGTTAGGTATCTGATTTGCGTTATTAGAGTTTCGTGAATATCCAACAACTCTATGACTATGTGATTTTGTGTGCTGGGACAGTTGCTTTAAGTATAAGTAGGTTAGGTAGGTACTTATTAGGTTCCCATTCTCTTCTATTTCCTAAAGTCCCAAAATGTACGTATATAAGAAGCGTGGGAAGATCACTTGAGTGAATTTGCCCTCATAAATTCTTTCTCTGTCCCCTTGCCTCCCTTAGACAACATTTTCTACATGATCAAATCATCCTGCTATCGAGTAACCTAACGACGTCTATGCGAACAGGTGCAAGAACATGATCGCTTATTCCGAGATTAGAAGATATATACGATATTTTAACCCTCGGATTGAGGAATTCTCTTATAAAGCCATGACAAGATTAGACCGTATTCATCGCCACCTAGCGAGAACCAAGGATATGCGAGAACCCGATGAGCTCACCTGGCGGGAGGATAGGCTGATCCCTATCCTAGACACGAGCAATATTCATAACCGGAGACAGCTAAATGACTTATTGAAACGTTATGTTCCTACCATGAAAGCGGTTAAGAAGCTGCCTGCCAATACCGCTTTCGTCGCCTTGGAAGTCAAACCCAAGTTTGTGATTGGGGGGCTCTTTGACGTTGACCTGGCACTTTTAACGAAACTCGAGGAGCATACCTGTAGCAAGCACGAGGAAATGCTATCTCTCGCAGACTTCATAACGGAACGCCAGGTTAAGGTCATGTCGTTGAGGATCAACATGATAGGCCGAGAGGAGGTAGTCAAACCTAGGGCGACGACCACAATAGTCAATGCTATGAGGCAACTGTGCAAAGAAGTCCTAGGTCAAAATATCGCGCTTATCGGCTTTTCTCTTCCAAAAGATATCGAGCGCATAGGCTTGAACTTTGCGGATATCAACAACATGTTCCCCTATTGGATAGACCTTTCAAGGATGATCGCAGCAGTTTCTCCAACCTTAGCATACCATCAAATTAAGATGGGAACCATCCTTTATACCTTTGGTTACAACTCTATCGGTACAATATGGTTTGTAGGAACTCCCATAGTCGTCAACGAAGCGGTTAAAGCATTAGCCGTGCTAGAAGGGTTGCAATGTCGAGAGGGCGTAAACAAGCTCATACTGGGAGAGCGAAAATTCCCAGGTATAGAGATTGAAGCCCAGGTCGAGGCCTTCAGATTCATGCCGTACAAGGCGTTGATCCATAACCAGGGTTCACGTCTACCTCCTAGCATCGATTCTGCCCAGAAGTTGGCTTTCGTAACAGAAGACTATCGACCCATTGGAGTTGCCGCCGACATATGCGATGTACGGTTTGAAGGGTTTAAACCGTGCTGTCCCGGTATACGCGAGACGCACATGACTCGAGGGTGCGTCTGTTTTAAAGACAAGAAAGCACTAGATGAGTTTATAAACGACGTTGATGGTAGCGTCATAGACGGAGTGACGATCAAGGTTGAGAACATCCCTTATCAAACGTTCTGGAAGTATTTAAAGGATGCTATCAAGGCGAAGGGCACTTATATATATGATCGGCTAGAGATTGCTGCAATGATGGCCAAAGGGAATATACCGCGATGGTATGATGCATTATTCTCGCCAGCCGATAACAGGTTCCCATGGTGTCCTAATCCGGAGGACGCACCTCCTGGCTACTATGATACCGATGATGATAGCATAACTTATACCAGTCGATTACGGGGCTAAATATAATTTCTTTTCTTCCTTTATTTATAGTTATACCATTCTTACTATCTTGTTGGTGGCTGCTATGTTGATGGAATCATGCAGGGAGAAGCCTTGCAAATTCTTGGGCGTCGGGAAGAGACAATCCATATCTGTTAACGCTGGCTCGGATCAGTACAAGTAGATTTTAAATGGCTCACTTAGAGTTTCGGTTTATTCTTAGCATCGAATTTACTAGGGAGGAAATTGCCAGTATTCAAAATAGCCATGAGAATGGATTAAACAAGTTAGGTACGAAGCATAACGAAGTTGGAGTTGCAAACGAGAAGTATGTAAACCGTTAACTTACCTATGTAATGCAACCCGCCTAACGCAGCTAAAAGCGGGAGCTAAGACCTCCTTATCTAATCCATAAACCTTGTGTAACGTACCGGACCTCCCGGGTTTAATTACTCTAGATACCTATACATAGGTACCTACCTATACCTATACCTATACCTATACCTAATATTTCTATATCCGCGGCACCTCCGACCTCGACCTCAACCTCAACCTCAACCTCACCACCCAGCTGTCCACCCACCTCAGCCATGCCCTCCAACGAACGCACCTCCCTCATCACCACCACAACCACCACCACCCGCCGCCACCCCCGCAACAGCATGTACTGGACCCTCGCTTGCATCTACGGCGCATCCGCCGTCGGCCTCGGCGCCTTCGGCGCCCACGGGCTGAAAAAGCTGATCTCGGACCCGGCCAAAGTCGGCTCCTGGGCCACCGCCGCCCACTACCAGCTCGTGCACTCCGTCGCCCTGCTCCTCGCCGCCCAGGTCCAGAACCCCGTCTCCGCCCTCCTGTTTACCACCGGCATGACCTTCTTCAGCGGGAGCTTGTACCTGCTCGTCCTCGACCCGGCCCGCTTCCGCTTCCTGGGTCCCGTCACGCCGCTTGGTGGCCTATGCTGTGCGTTTTCATTTGCCCGCTTTTACTTACTCTTTTTATCATCATGGTTGGTCTATGTAGAAGTATTATACTAACTCCTGTTTGCATGCGAATAGTGATTGGTGGCTGGGTTGCGCTCGCGCTGAAGTAAAGAGAGAGTTAGGCACCTAATATACCCGTCTCGGCTTATGGTGCTGTAGTCTTATGCGAGAGGGGGTCGCAAGATGAAGAATAGTTACAGATAGCCGGGCTGTCTATATGAGTGTAGTCTCGTGGACGTGACAGCTACCTCCTAAATAACTAATATCGTCACTCTGCGTGAGCAAGAACCTACCTTTTTTTTATTTTTTTTTATTTTTACACATCTCTCGTACCCAAGGGCCAACTGTGAAGTTACATATCTACTACTGGCTAATTTCAACTCGTAGACTTAACGCTATTCGGAAAACTTACGCAGCGCTTTCCTTACCTCGAGGCATTTCTATTAAACTATCGGCATACTTACCGACAGTCCTAACAATCCTTTCCATTAGCAAAACATACTCACAACTCAACGTGGGAACGCATGTATATCACTATAACGAGCTATCCTTAGTACCTAGGTTAGGTAACTAAACAAGAATCATAGCAAACCAACCCTTAGCATCCGAACACCTCGAAGTTCGTGGTATCTTTTGGTTGTAGTCATATAAGAAACAAAGCCAGGCCCGATTCTCGTCACATTGTTCTCCTTAGAGGATGTTGGCATGCTTGTTGTGATATACATCAACTTGCCAATCTCCTATGCACTCTCCTGCTCCTTATACTCGCCACATTCCTAGACGCATCTTCAATAGGTCCTGCTGCGACTCCATTTCGTCTTGCATCTCCTTTAGGTTTGAGACGCACTACGCCTCACCACTAGATACTGCAGCTATTGCTTGGAACCCAGCTAGGACTTCTCTGTCGACGTTCACGGCCCAATTATGCTGGAAAGCTTGCTCTCCGCCAGTTCTCTGTACCAGGTCGTTAAGTTTATCTTTCACAAAGGGAAGAGACTGGACTGTCTTCACCGGGTCGGTCGCAAACAAAGCCCTCTCTCTCTCATCCTTCGCTGTGTCCCATTCGGTGGGTTCCAACTTGCCAGTGATGACGAGCATATCATTGCCGATAGAAGGTGGCTCAGCACTTATAATCTGGACCATGACGCTGGTCCACATTGAAAAATAATCCTGGAGTTTGAGCAGAACAAGGTCCTGCATTGGTTGGTGAAGTTCAAGAAGCCGTGTTAGAGCTAGAAGGTTAAGTTTGTGCCGATTGTTATCAGCTATGCTATCAAATGAACCAAACCACTCGGCACTGAGCCAATTCCACACTTGATCCAAGGGACCAAGCGAGGCAAGCATCTCCACAAACATGGTGGGATCGATTACGGCAATTCGAGATAGGATCACGAAGTACTCTACCAGGATTTGAGAGCCCACACGACTTTGCTTCTTTTTGGGTCCAGATGTTTGGTGGGCTTCAAAGGAGTCATGTATGCCTTCGAAGATTGTAGGCAGGAAGCCTATCCCCATCATGTCCTGAACAATTACTTGTAGTCCGGACGTGCCACCTAACTCATGAGATAATCGTATTAACGATTCGGTGTATCGTATGGTGATGCTCACTAGCTCACGGCTCTTCGCACTAAGCGAACTAGAGAGCGCAGCGAGAGCTGGTCGTCTATATCGATCTTCAAGAATGACCTCTGGTGCGAGTAGAACGTAACAGCCGAGAATGCTTGTGTATGTAAAAGCGTGGTCATTCTGCTTCGAGAGTTCATTGATGGCAGTTTCAGCCAGACTGGTAAGTTCCGATGATAAGGGTGGCTGGCTTTGGTATAAGATATTAGACCACAGGTCGAGCGCTTCTTCGATGAGGTACAAATATAACTCTGTACCTTCTCTTGTAGCCTCGGATATCAGTGGTAAAATCATAGGTTGATATCTCTGAGATTCTGTTTTCATGGACATCACCACTGCTTGTATGATAGCCAAAACCGATTGCTTCATCATGAAACCCAGGTCACCCGCTGACTCCCAGATGCCGGGTATCGCATTCATTACCATGTCGCCGAAGCTAGACACATGTGTTTCCATGCGCTGTATGAGACTCCGCGTTGACTCGAGTATCGCCAACTTGGTCTCGTCAACCTCTGCTTCTTCTAATAGCCTGATGAGCCGCATAAGCACATCAGAAGCATATGGAGAGAACAGATGTCCTTCAAATCCTAATTCGTCAAAGATAGTTTTAAATTGTCTCGCAGTCGTAATACGAACAACAATGTCGTTGCATGCATCTTCGGGGTTAAGAAAATGTCGGAATATTTCGTAAACAAGTGGGCGGGCTTCTGCTGATATTTTGACAGGCACCCATTGACTTAGAAGGATGGCAATCCTTCGTCTGATGACTCGGGCTAATGGACCCGTTTGCTGAGCATCGGCTGCTATTGTCGTCTTCAGCATATTTTCGAAGTCGAACTCTTCGCTGACCAAAGGAGCAGCTAGTCCCATAGCAGTATACACTGCTTCTTTAGTAACGATATCCGCTTGCGGGTTTTGAACCGTACCAAAGTATGATATGAGTGGCTGTAGGAGTAGATGTTTGTAATGTGTGAGGAGATCCAAGAATAACTTCTCCGCGCAAGGCCTCACTTCCCATTCGTAGGCATTACCTTCGGCTTCTTCTTGCTGTTCCCATTCCTGCGGGTCTTCATCCCATGCATCTAGATCCGCTTTACGAAATATGAAGAAGTGAGTGATTAAGACGTTTGCTATTTGGGTGACAACTTCATCTTTGAGCAATTCGGCGCCTAGAAATTTGACTGCGTGTTGTTGTTCATCTATGATGTCCTTTGAACGATAACGGATTGTCTGCTGGGGAAAGTGGATTATCCTTACACACTGTCTTACTAGAAGCAGACCCTTCAATGCTAGCCTTTCCAAAAGGGGCCCTTCGACTTTAGCCTTGGGCTGGCCTGACCCTGAGGTCTCTTGTCGTATTCCATCCGACTTATTGAACACTTCTGCAAATTTAGCGGTGAGGTCCCAATATGCACGGACAAGATCTAGAGAGTTTGGAAGAGAGGCAAAGCTTGCAGGATGGGCTGTAGCCATCTCATTATGGAGCTTTGTGAATTGCATAAGGTGTTTCCCTAAGAGATCGGCATAGCATGCTATCTTTCGCGAATCACTGTTGATGAAGTTGAGAAATTGTGCAAACTGCGCTTGAGAGAAGCTCCAGACTTGTTGGACGCTTTTGTCCTTGTGTGGGTACTCATAACCAACTATCAAGAGTCGACGGAGACTCTTGATAGCGTCAAGGCTATTTTCCATGGCGAGTAAAGCCTTATCTCCGTCTTCATTTTCACGACCGTTGGTTAAAAAAGCTATCCACTGACTAGTCCTATCATGATATATTTCACCAAGAATATATACGAGTTCTGGTGTGATGGACTGAAGCATGGTCTGAGACTTACGCAGACGCGCTGTTCCGAGTTCCTTCACTATTCGCAGAAGTATCATCAAAGCCCCCGAGAGCTCAACCTGGTCGCCATCCTTAGTCGCTCTAAGGAGCTGGGTAAGGTCGTTTAAAGGAGTAGGCCAGGCTGTAGGAAAATCGGTGCGGACCACCTTCGCAATAACGAGCGCATTATGTAGAGCAAGCTGTCTATCACCTTCACTAGTAGTCCCCTGGAAAAGCCTGTCCCGTATTACTTGTTTCGCAGCTGCCGGTATGGCGTTCTGGACACCCTGGAGCCGCCAGAATCGATCGACGCCGTTCTTAAGTTGAATAATTGCAAGAAACCTGACGTTTTGGGGCGCGTTCTTGTCGAGAAAAATAGACTATTGGAACAAGTGCCGTTAGTGTCAAAAAGTCGTGTGCGAAGTAGAAATGATATATACCTGTAAAGTTGGGTAGTATTCCGGGTCAGATTCCCAGGCAGTGAGCTGCTGGCCAGCAGCCTGACGGCGGTTGTTATCATGGGATGATGATGCAGTTTGGAGAGTACGGAGAAGTTCATAGAAGTTTAGGGGCGTGGCCGCACCTGGAACCTCTATAGCAAAGTTCATTTTGATGGTATTATGATCTGCACATGTCGTGTAGTGTATACAGAGGGTAAAGGCAGCATTTGTCTTCACGATGGTTATGTGTTGTTACCTAACCTAGTGGATTGATTGTATGGGATGAAAGTAAAAGTGAAGTGGGATGAATTGTTAGCTGTTGGTGGGGTAATTTTTAGACAGGGACAAGGAGAGAAGGTTCGACGTAAGTACCCACTCCGTAAAAGAGCTATTGTGGGTACGAGGCAGGTACAACGCGTATTAGGATTCACCGCCGGTGATCGCGTACCTAGTGTAGTAGGCGCAGTGCATACCATGTATACGTGACATATGCTTAAGCATCAATGTACGAACCTTAAATTACCTAATGTAGGTACATGTAACCTTGGAAAGTTCGTACTCGGGTATCCTAGGTAATTACATGGACCTCAAGGTACCTATGTAGAGATGCTACATTGTATACACTTTAGTGCAATATGTTAGGTTAGGTTATGTACTTATGTATGAATTAACAAACGAAGCTATTAGTCATTGCTAATTAGATTTCTTAGACGTCATACCTATACCTATCTATCAAGCAGCAAAATAACAACTTGTAGGTAGACTAGTAGACTAACCTAACCTAGTAGACTATACTAAAATAGGGGGATAAGGGGATAGGGGAATAGGGGCAAATAGCTTGCTGAAGATACAACACGACCAACGCCGGCCGGTGTATCATTATAATTTGTCGTTACTTTGGGATATGGGAAATTTCGTAAAACCCTACCACCTCTTACTTTGATCCCATAGTCTTTCCTGATCCCCACAGGATGCGCACCTAGGTATATATTCAAGCCTTAACCCAACATATCCGTTTGGGTAGGGTTGAGCCTTTCTCTCCCGGTCGTAACCCATAAACCGTCTTTTTTTCCATCACCAAATTTCCAAGTTCCGGTGCCATGCTATCCAGTTAGAGATAGGCAGGAGAAAAGAAAGAAAAAACCGCGTATCGTCATCTCATCCTAGTATAAGAGTAGGTATTATCATTTAGGCTTGATATATATCCGTAAGGCTAGGCCAGTTTTCATTTAAAGCCCAACCCTCAACCTGGTAAGGCGGATGATATGGCTCAAACCCAAAGTTAGTAGCTAGAGGTGCCTCGCTCAAGAGGGCGCTCGATACCGCAGCCCATGCTTCTGATTCTGTGATCCCCGGCCGCCAGCTCTGACTTATTCTCGGGGTTAGGTATTCTTTCGCGACGGTCTTAACGTCCTCTGCGATCTTTCTGGAAAGGGGCCAGGTTTCCCCATGTGTTGTGAGTATTTGTACGAGCATGTTGATTCGTTCTCGAAAGGCGGGGGAGTCCAATCCGAGGAATACACATGCATCGAGGTAAGCTAAAGCCACCCGTAGTGTTCCTATCGCGAATACTGAGCGTAGACACTTCGTAGGGAAAGAATGTCGAAATAGATCGCAATAATGATTAGCGGCTTGGATATCAATCGGGTGAGTATTCCAGCCGAAGCCTTTCACTATATGCCCCTTACGATCGGGACCCTTGGCAGGACCTAGTGGAAAATAATCCCGTATGTTGAGACCAGTTCTAGGGGAGGCTTGTCTGAGCCAAAGTCGGTTACTGAATTACTTAGACGTCAATAGATGGTCTACGGCAATCCACAATACTAACTAATACTTACACATGTGCTATGGCAACGCCGTGGTAGAGTATTACATCAACTACACCATCCGGATCGACCAAATTCATTTTCCACTTCGGAACACGCCGTAACCAATCGCATATTCGAGAGTCTGCACGATGGAATATCTCTGGCTTTTTGTCTTCTGGTGCTTCGTTATGTGGGAGGACTAAATCTGTCTGGATCTTACAGATATCAATGAGATACGCCATTGAAGAAAAGTCGGATTGTCCCAAGCTGACTCGTGACTCGTATTGTGATTGGGAGATGGGCTGAGGTATAATCTAGAGAACACGTTAGATATGACAACACGTCTTCGGCCTATAGGCTATTGGGTACGAGGCTTGGGTACGAGGCTGAAGCCCTAGCTCCCGGCAGTCGGCAGGCTTGGCGGCAAGGAAAAGGAAAAGGAAGTACTCACCCCTGATTCATACTCCCATTCTTCACATGGTAAATCCACGTTGGACTCCACATCTGTAATGGAGAGTGTAGAGCCGACATCGCATAGAGCCCGTTCGGAATCCTGAAAGGTTAAACACCACCATGTTCTTCGATAGCTCTCGGCAAGCACCGAATCAGATGCTGCGTCGGCAAATGTCTTATGGTTCATGCCAATATCAACGGCTATCGTGACCGCCCTGTTGGCCCAACCGGCATGGTGTTCGAATTTCATCATCCCGTAAGCAGCAATGCTTAGGATGAGCAGCCCCTGTACCGACTGTACCGTAAAAGGTAGCGACCCACATGCTGCGGAACAAGCGGCCTCTAATAAGTCGTCGGAGGAGATTTGATTTGTGTAAAGCGATCCGCAGAAATTGAGGACCAAGAGCAAGAAGTGATAGGCGTCTGGGTCGGACTTGACGTGGTTAAAGAAAAATCGTTTAGGGGGGAGACAGGGGTAGCTTGGGTGAAAATGGCTGTAGAATAAGTCGAGTAATAACTCCTTTTCGGTTTGAGGCGAGGTGGACGCCTGTGATTCCGAACTGACGGACCAGCCGCTGGGTAACTCACGAGGGGACCGAACCGACGGCAGGCCTGAAGAAAAGTTTGACGTTGAGAAGAAGTTCCCTGCTGAAGTCGCTGGTGGCTTATCCGATATAAGACTTCTCTTTTTGGGGTCCCGGATGCCTCGTCTCGACTTTGCATAAAAACAGGGCTTGTCTTCTTGCTGGCAGCGATTACAAGCCGGCAGCGTGGCATCGCATTTGACGTGCTTGCTTCGGCATTGAACGCAGGCAAGCGATACTCGTATATTGGCCTTGGACCGATTGGCGGCCCTGGGCTCCGAGCCGTCGGGCGACGAAACCGTGGACCCTTGCCGACTGAGGCTTCCGGCCCTCTCCTCATCCCGACTCATCACCATGAGAGCGTCGGGTGGGCTACTTAAGCAGGAAACCGGTGAAATTGTGTAAGGATCGCCGCTGAACTTGCCGATATAAGGTAAATGAATGATCGATCGTGCCCGACGAGAGAATTATGTCTTAAGAAATGCACCAGAATGCACCAGAATGCACCATAAGCACGGTCGATGAACGGTAGGGTCGATGAGCGGACTTCTCATATATGAGCCGAAAGCAAGCCTCACATTTAGTTCTGACAAAACGATCATCAATGGCCGGGTTCAACGGGCGTTAAATGGGTCCAAATAGCACGTAGCAGCGGGTGATGTATGTGCAAGGGTACGGGCGCGTGGTGAGGACCCCGAAACAACATGGCCCACGGCACACCCCTTGGCCTTTGGGTTGCTGTCATCTGCAAGTTACTGTCAGCCCTGTACCCTAATACCTAATCCTAATGTACGGAGCGCGGGATGGAAGGGGGAAATAATGTTGATATGCCCGATAGAGTGGTAGTGTTGCACAACGGGGCCACTACATAATAGTACCTACCACCTACCACCTACCACCTACTAGGTAGTTCTTCCTTGTTAGTCTTCTTCTCCCCCCCCTGTCTTTAACTAGGTATCGACTTATGCGATCGTGGCTTTGCTCCGTCCACTGCACGTCCACTCACGTCCTGGGTGAGATGTCTAGCGCGAATTGGGGGCGGTCTGCACTTTTAAATCTGCAAGTTCGTTCCCAAGTGTCAGGTGTAACAATGCAGCACAGCCATCGTCGTCTTCTTTGGTCTTCTTTAGCATGCAAGGCATGTAAGTTTAATTGACTTTGAATAAGAATATCACCAACATAAAATCCTATCCACCGAAAATCACTGCAACCATACGAAGTAGGTAGACTTCCTCCATGGACGCCAATTGGAAATCAACAAACCCGAACTCTTGCCCTTCTTGGTATGGTGTATTCTTTGTTTTAGCCAATAGGATAGAATCAAAATTTTCGTGATAGACCCGGATAATAGTCGCGCTGTTGGTTTTATTAGGTACCTCATAGTAGTGTTGAGGATGTTGAGGATGTGGCTACTCCCCTGACTGCGTGGCTTGCTCGAGCCTCGAGGGCTCAAGGGCTCGAGTGTCCGGGCTCTTAAAATACTGGGTCTTCAAACCCCGCGATACCAACCTACCTCATACGTGCATCGTACCTAGGAATCAAAGTAACGTCAACTTTACATAGTAGACTAGATTAGATCAAGAGGCTCCGCCGTTAAATGAGCCTCCACCAGCCGGTAGAGCTCGCCATATTTACTAATGTAAGGCTACGTTATCTGGCAGACTTCAGCCTCTACTAGTTTCGAAGTGGAGTTGTCGAATTATGTCCGCATTCGAATTCGGGAGACATGATGTCTAACTCCGGCTTCATACCTAGGAGATAGTTGATTACTCTATATGTAAGCACTCTGGAGGAATCCCGCCGCTAGGTCTGTGCCGCGAACATGCCTTCAGATCCAGCTTGCTCGGCGAGCTGTTCCTACCTGTAGTTATAGCATGTTGATTATCACATCCTTTCAAATATTATAAATTGCGAGGCCTTCAACCTATCAATTAGGATGCCATAATTAAGCGTTCATTTACAAGCCACCAATGAGAAGAGCCAACAAGAAATATACTACTTTATCCCGTCCAACAGCAAAAATAGCAATACTTTGCAGGGTTATTTACATACATAAGTACATAATTACCTAGTTAGTTAAGTACCTAGGTTAAGTTAGTACCTATATGTATATTTAGTAAGTCTCATTCGCTAAGATCCTACCCTACCTACATAATAGATACTTTTTGAATTTAATCGTCAGTTATCTTGAGTTATCTTGAATACTGACTTGACCTACATAGCTAGAACCAATAAAATATACGGAAAGGGGTTCCAGTCAACTAGGTTACCTACCTAATGTATGTAAGTAAATATCGATAGGATATGTAAATACCCGCGGACATCACACAATTGGTAAACAAGAAACAACCTGAGTGGAAATAGGAGAACAAAGAACAAAGACAATTGAATTGTGCAGGATTAATGCGTTATGACTGCGCATTATGCATAATATGCCATTATATAAGCCGGCATATGCTAGTCGGTAGTACCGAGGGTCAAATGCAAGCCAAGCTTAATCAAACCCAATCCGCGCTGTTTCTAACCTCGGCGTACCCCGAAATGTTTACGCTAAAGCAGCCCACAACGTCACTACCGCTACCGTTAACTACTTCCCCAGAATCATTCAATCTTCCCGCCATTTTCTAAGCCTCATTAAACGTTACAGACAGTAACGAAGCCACGCAGATCACGATAAGAACAATAACAACAACAACACATACATGCGTTCGAGGTCATGCCATGAATGACGACATCATCACCAATTGAAATTGCGGAATTGTGAGTATCGTATTACCATGTGGCTGCTCAGATGAGCTCTACCAATTTCGTCCAAGCCCAGCAGCGGTTGGCTGCGCGTCGACAGGCTCGCGAACGAGAAGCCCAAGCTCGACTCGACGCTACCCGCCAAGCATCGCGAGCCTGGACTGAAGTGACGCGTTTGCCATATCCCTTGAATCGACTTGGAACTTCATCGCTATCGGTATGGGAAGTGATCTCGTCACGCGAAGGCACGAGACCTGCCTTTCGAGTCGGCCAAGTCGACGCTGAATTATTAGACGAAGACCTCGTAACTCAACTACGCGATCAGGTTGGCGAAGCGCTCAAATACTTCGGAGGTACCCTAAAGGATGACTGGTCAGCCGAGATTCTGCTTGTGCTTCGTATAATCCTTTTCAAACTTACGGTCTGGGATCATGATGCGACCTATGGTGCGGCTCTTCAAAATCTCAAGTATACCGATGCGAGACGCGATGGGCTGGTTTTAACCCCCCCGAGTAAATGGCAGAAGAGTCTCTATGGTCTTATTACCGTAGGAGGGAAATATGGTTGGACAAAATGGGAGAATTGGTTACTGGACCGAGACAATGGATACGATCAACCCTCGCCGATGGTACGGAGGCTTGGCAGACTCACGTCACGGATTACTACTCTCCACTCGGTAGCTGCCTTCGCCTCGTTCCTTGCCTTCCTCTTGCATGGGAGGTACCGAACAATACTAGACAGGGTATTGAGAATGCGTCTAGCTCCACCCACCAGTCAAGTTAACCGTGAAGTTTCTTTCGAGTACCTTAACCGGCAACTGGTATGGCACGCATTTACCGAGTTCTTACTCTTCGTCCTGCCCTTAGTAGGGATCAATAGATGGCGTAGGTGGCTTGGTCGCACATGGAGGAAGACCAAAGAGATCATCAATGTCAGCAAGGAGGGTGATGTCAACGAGAAGCGAGGCGATTTTGCGTTTCTACCCGAACGGACATGTGCTATTTGCTATCAGGATCAAAACTCGGCCGTCTCAGAGACCGAGGTTTTGGCTGCAGCCGCCTCAAGTGGAGTTATAGGCTCGGCACAGACGGATATCACGAATCCATACGAGACGATCCCATGCGGCTGCATATATTGCTTTGTATGCATTGCAACCAGATTGGAGCGTGAGGAGGGTGAAGGCTGGACTTGCCTACGGTGCGGCGATCTAGTAAAAGAATGCAAACCATGGAACGGGGATGTTCTAGAAGAACAACCGAAATCATCAGCACCAGCCACGAAGCACGTAGGGTTTATCGATGACGAGAAACCCGCTTCCGGCCCCCCAGATGATAATAATGACACCGTTCATGAATTTCAACAACCAACACAAGAGGAACAGTTCGAGTCAGCGGCGTCAGATTCTCCTGAAGATAATGACTCGGAAGTATACGAGGAAGAAGAGGCCGGGGTGGAGGAAGGGTTCGACGACTAATCGTCGATTTCGATGATACATGGAGCCTCTGCACAACATAATCCTACCAAACTAGAAGAGCCTTCGGTTCAAGCAGCAAATCGTTAACCGCCCCCAAGCGCTCAACGATTCGCGCTAGTTGAGACACGAAACCCGTATCCTTTCGCCTGGACCTTCACCTTCGGCGTATGAATGGTTGTCTGTCATCATCACGTTTCTTAGGAGTCGGAGGTGAGATAGCCTATTTAGTAGCCATACGCCCAGGGGTCCGGCTCGGTAGGGCTGCAGAACAAGTGGAGAAAGGCGGGAGGAGGCATATGCCATTCCAAATCACCGGTTGAAGATCCCACGTCCCGTACCTATCGACGGGCTCAGCATACGCCGCATCTGTCGCACAATAACGCAATCTCGTCAACATCTGTCTGTGAAGCTCCACCCAGCCCTACGCTCTACGCTCCCACCTACCGGTCCAAGGTGTACCAACGCCTTGGCGATTCATGTTATTTTTGTTCTCGGGAGATACTAAACCCCTTAATCCACCTTAATATTCGGCAGGTTTAGGCGCGAGGTTGGTTACGTGTGTGGCGTCCTGCTGTCATGCCTCCTTTCGTCTGAGGCAAGCCTATTTAGACGACATCAGGGTTGTAATGAACTGTTACAATAGCTACCTACCTATAATATTTCTACCCAATCATTGTTCATATCATCTTCTGCTTTCGTCGCTGACTTACACGGAGAATATTTATTTTATCTAATTAGTGATATGCACGATATCGTATCTCAGGTGCAGATTTTGTAGGACCGGTATGCACAGATTATGGCATCTTAAACTCCACCTAAGGATCGGTCGTAATTCCGCTCATCTGGGCAGAAGCTTATCCTTCGTGACCACTCCACAAATGACAAGGGCCGTAAGCACCATGATTTTCTTGGGTTCGTCACCCCGCGGGTAAGCAATATTGGGAAATCGGGTTGATGATGGCCCATAATTAGAAAAGTACCTAACCTAAGCCAGCAGTGGCAAATCTTTGCGTGCCATTCCTTCGGGTCACGCTCGGGGTGGTGTTGTCAAAACCACCGCTGTTTGCTACAGAATCAAGACATGTGTTGTCAATCTCAAGCTTATGTGGCTCTTCTGCTGACCTACGTTATGACTCGACCAATGAAGATTCATATAATTACCTACTATCATTATCTTAATTATGTCTGTAACCTTTTGGCTTGGTAGGGATGCTATTCTCATTGGCGTTCCTGTCAGTTTCGATCATGTTGTGCTAGGTTACATTTCTACTATAAACAAGGCTTGTGTAGCATAGTAACTATTCACATAGCTTATCTGGGACTTACAATGCCTCGGTTATGATTGCTTTGCCGTAGGTAGACGCAGTCATTAACCAGGCTGGCCAATCACAACTACTTCTTCTAAACAATAAATTTATGTTGATATAGGTAAGGCTTCGTCGACCGATGACCACCGGAATGTTGCAGGAGACGGGTTGTACAACCAACGTCGTGAAGGACGGTGGTGGCGTGGTGCCGATCTAGCCTTGGGTCTATGTTATATTCAGCTGTCTACGACTCGGGGGTTATACTATAGAAGGAATATGACGATTTCATTACCCTAATTGACAGGTCTCACAAGGTCCACCAGCCTGAGATGAAAAGCCCTATTGGGTTGATACTCTTACCATCGAGTCTGTAAGATTCCATCATTCTCTGTTCTATAATTGGGGGCTTCATTGTAAACAGAGTTACCGCCTATAGCTTACAATTGTAACTTATACCAATGGCGTTTTCAAGTTAAGCCGCGGATATAGAATAATCGCCCCCAAAGAGCACACTGAAAGACGTTGATATAAATTTCCTACAGACTTCCTACTTGTTCTTCACCAAAGCCTCTAAATGACTTTCATATATTCTCTTGATTTTGCTTCGTGGGCGTAGTAGCATGCATGGTGACACGACGACTGTGGTGTCACATCACATCACATACTTTGTGCTTATTCCACTATACTGTATACTGATATCTTGACTTTATCGTTATATGTGGACCAGCTGTATATGGTCGAGATCATAGCAACCGATTAGGTAAGGTAAGGTTACAACGACGTAATCTCCATCCATCCATACATAAAAGCTACCTACCTTGCGCTATCAAGATTTGGAATGCCCAGATCGTCATATTACACCAACCCAAAGTAAGACCGGAGCATAACATCCCTCACCCTAGAGACTACCTAGAAACTAGCGAGAGGCCATCGTCAAAGATTACCTACCTAGGTACCTAATGTATGTACGTAAGACAAAAACACTACCTACCTACCTACCTTTTAATCCTACACGTATAAGTAGTTAAAATGGTAATTCCGACAAGGTACGTAGGTACTTAGGTGTATATTACCTAGAGGCCTCTGCACCTTGCAGATATTCGCAAAAGCGGAAACAAAAAAGAAAGTTAAAAGTTAAAAAAGGAATTAACAGGTAACCATGTAACCTAGGAAGATCAATCTCCAAGACTTGCCCCACAGGAGCTTTTTGTTCGCAGGGACAGGGATCCATTATTACATACCTAACCTAGGTAGATAGGTATGTAACCTAGGTTAGTACATAATATATTATTTTTTACCTATCGCATGCAATGTAAATGTATGTACGTACCTACGGTAGTGTCATCGTCACGCGCTCCCTTCTTGCAGCAACTAACAATCCAATCCACATGCACGAAGTTGCACACTCCTCTCTCTTCCTCCTCTGCCTATTGTCTCTTTTTTCCTGCTTTACATACATACATACCTAGGTATATATCTTAGGTACGGTACGTAACCTAACATGTAATATGGTATAGCATGGTATGGTATGGTATTGTTATGTATGTAAGATCTGTTACATACCTACCTACCTAACATCCTGCGCCGTCCATCCATCTACACAGCATTAAGCAAGCCCCCTCCAGGTACACCCTTGTTTCTCTCTTCCTTCCGCCGCTCGCTTCTACACGTGCCGGGGGTGCAACACATACATACATACGGGTTCCCTGTGGCCGTAGGGATAGATAGGGAAAAGTGCAGCGGTAGTGAAGTAAGACGCATAGGTAACCCAACCACGCAGCGGACGCATAATCCGGCCTGCAGCGTGCCAAGATCACGAGTCCCGAGAGACAACCACCTCCCCTCCATACCTACATACACCACTGCAGTAGAGTAGCGAGCTCTCCCGCCTCGAGACTTCACACTCGCCTTGGCTCACATAATCAAGATCTGACCTTCATCAAAGCGAACAAAAGAGCGGCCCGCCTCAACGCCGACCTCTTCCGCCTTATCAACCCTCTTTGTGCCAGCTCACCACAGCCCACCCGCTCTTTCGCCTCTCGCCCAGACATAATCCTCAACCCGCCATGTGCGCCGCCTCCCCTCGAGCTCCAACTCCAATCCTGATTCCAAAGCCGCCGCCGCCGCCGCCAGCGTAATACACACCGCAAGTAAGAGCGAGGGAGCGAGCAAGTGAGTGAGTGAGTGAAACTAAAAAAAGCCACAAGGATAAAGGAGGGCCGGGTGGTGGTAAGAGATAGCGAGAGAGAGAGGGTTAGGCTCGAAGCCGGAGGGGTAAGACGGAGAGAAACAAAGAGCGAAAGGGGATATACGGCCCGGAACACCACTCTCCTAAGCCCAACCAGGGCTAGCCCGTAGTCCAGGCCGACACAGCAGACCCCGACCAGACCAGACCGGACCGGACCAGGCTAACCGAACCAAACCAAACACACACCAACCCAATGCCCGAATTCTTCCCCTTCATCCCGGGCACCGAGACCGGCCGCGCCGCACGGCAACACGCAAGCGACTCCTCCCCCCTCCTCGGCCGCTTCCGCGCCGTGCCCCGGCAGCCGCGACAGCAGCATATCGGGCTTCTGTCTCCCGGTGGCCGCGGCAGCGTGCATATCGGGTATGGCGCGTTAGCAGTCGGGCTCGAGGACGACGACGACGATGATGACGAGGCTAGTGATGATGACGACGACGACGATAGTAATAATGATAATGATAATCGACGATGTGGGTACACGGCGAAGAGGAAGATACGCCGGTTTGCGCGGGTCTCCCGCCGGAGTGTCAGGGACTTATGGGTAGCGCCGCGGCAGACGGCCGTCAAGCGCGTGGTTGAGAGTTGGTGGAGTCGCTGGGGAGTTCTGGTATTCTTGCCTGCTGCTTTGGTAAGTTTGCGATTTATATTGTTCGCTTTGTTTTACTGCTCTTCTGCTTCACGATGCGGTCTTTTGATAGAGATATGGACACTGGCAAGGGGGTTCAGGAATAAGTACTACGATTATATGTACTAACCAGCATCTGTTATGCGATCTTTCTAGGCGGTAGCATGGTGTGCGATTCCATTCCCGCAATATTCCTTCGCGCCCGACTCGCACGGCTACACGAGGCCTCATGGCCATCCCGATACCGCACTAGATCCTTCTTCCAAGCACCGAGTGCCCGGTCACGGCAAGGCGCGCGTACAGGTCAACTTTTGGTTCTTCCTCTTCGTCTACTACGGGTTCTACAACCTGACCGCCCTGATCTGGATAACCAAAGTATTCAACCTCTACTCCCTCAATTGGTGGCCATCCACTCTCGGCTTCCCTATGACCATATCACTAATAGCCATCCTTTCGATTGCGGCTCCCATCCCCGTATACCTAATTCGGGAGGCGCGCTTCTTGACAGCTCACAACACGGCCTGGATTAGCTGGACCTTCGTCATCATGGCGATGCCTGTGGCTATCGCCTTCTGCATCCTCATGACACACGAGCGCCACCTGGGGCTGAGGCACTCGCTGAGCGAAACTCAGCGCATATTTACGAGTTCGTGGTGGACCGGGAAGTCGGACACGCTGTCGGTTACCCGAGACTACAACCGGCGCCGGGGGATTAGGGGTAGCACATTTGATCCGAACGGCGCGCTGCAGATTACGGACCGGCCGCGACAAGCTATGCCGGCGCTCATGCAAAGACGTAGCTGGTTACCCGCCAGCTTCGTGCGGTTCGTGTGGTTTTGTCTAGCGCTTTTCGTCGGTCTATTAGCCTACCTAATAGGAGAGGCGTATGCCGAGATCTATCTACGGACGTTACCACACAACAGTTTCGAAACGATCGTCTACGTTTACAGCTGGGTCGTGACGGTCCACTTGCTAGATGCGCTTACGGGCTGGATTCTCGGTGCCAGCGAAGGGGAGCGCGTGGGAAGCTACCCCCTGAGCTGGATCTTTAAGCTGTAAGAATTTGTTAAGATGCGCCAGCCTAATCTTGAAGACTCTGCTAACAGATCCAAACAGATACTTCATGTTGACCTACCAGACTTACGTTCGAGCGTTATATGCGCGCCTCCGTTCGCCGTCGCAATTCATCTGGCTTCAAGCGCTCTCGTCCGGGTTTCTCATCATCCTTACTCCTCTCACCATGACGCAAACGTATCATAGCGTACTATCGATGCTAGGTCTGACCACCCAATCGTACGGTTCCTATCAGAAGATCTGCACCAGAAACGTCTTCATCCGCTTTCTGGCCGAAAATGTGAGCATGCTCACATTCT